AAGACTGAGAGTCATCAGCAAATTGGTGGTGCCTTATACAATCTCTAACATTAACACTTTCAGAACTGTTACCTTAGACAACAAATCCACAGTTGCACCTAGCTCTGGTACTCAATATATTTTCTTCTTCACATTGCCACTGTTTACCCTACCTAGCTGAATTTCGAGAAAATATATCTTGTTTTCCTTCCCACTCCTTGGCTTCCTGTAGCATGGGAAAATCATGACTTGTGGAACATTTCAGTTTGAAATATTCAGCCTACTATCACATTGAAAAGCAGTTATGTGGTGAAATATTATCCCCTTCTCTACCATCAGTAGCCAGCATTCCCATAGGCCCTGAGAACCATCGGGTTGCTGTCTCATTACAGGAAGAGACGACTTGGTGATTATAGTCTGAGGGACACTACACCTCAGGCAAGGGGTATGGTTGAGAAGGCGAGACCGAAACTGGCGAAGGAATTTTACCTGCGCTGTTCAACTTGTATTTATATTGTAGTTTTAACATGACAAGACATCCTAAATAAGATGTTTGTAATTTAACACTGAGCCACATAAGAAAATATTAGGGCAAAAAAAGCAAAAACTGTGGATGCTGGAAATCAGAAACAAAAACAGAAATTGCTGGGAAAATCTGTGGAGAGAAAGCAGAATTAACATTTTGGGTCCAGTGACCCTTCTTCAGAACTCAGAGTCGAGGATCCTGAAGAAGGACCGCTGGACTCAAAATGTTAACTCTGTTCTCTCTCCACAGATGGTGCCAGACCTGCTGAGTTTCTCCAAGATATTAGGGCAGATGGCCAAAAGCTTGTTCAAAGAGAAAGGTGAAGAAGGCAGGTGGAATGGTTTCAGGAAGGAGTTCAGGAAGAGAGGCTTCTTGGCAGTTGGAGTCACAGCCATGAGGGATTCTCAAAAAGTCAAAATTAGAGGAATGCCAATATCTTGGAGGGTTGTGAGGCACAAAGAGACTGCAGAGGTAAGGAGGGGGCGAGGCCACAGAGGAATATGAAAGCAAGAGTGAGAATTTTACAGTTGAGATACCACTTGAGCAGGAGCTGTATTTGTAATTGTAGCTCGATAGCCATAGGGGAGAGAGATCAATGAGATTTAGTGTGAGTTACTTAGAATACAGGCACCAGCATTTGAATTACCTTATACTTTAGTGTAGGTTACAATAAATTGCTAAAAAAAAATGGAAAAATATATATACTTGTATATATTTAAACATAACAACTTTTATTTCTTCAGAACATCCCGATGTGTTCTATAAGACCGTAAGATATGGGAGCAAAATTAGGCCGTTTGGCCTATTAAGTCTGATCTGCCTTTCAGTCATGGCTTATATGTTTCTCAACCCCATTCTCCTGCCTTCTCCCCATAATCCTTGATCCCCTAACTAATCAAAAATCCTATCCATCTCTGTCTTAAATACCTCAATCACTTGGCTTCCACAGTTTTCTGTGGCAATGAGTTCTACAGACTCACCTCCTCTGGCCGAACAAATTCCTCCTCATCTCATTGCGAATGGGTCGTCCCTTTACTCTGAGGCTGTGCCCTTGGGCTTTAGTCTGTCCGAGTAGTAGAAACATCTTCTCCACATCCACTCTATCCAGCCCTCTCAGTATTCTATTAGTTTCAGTCAAATACCCCCTTATCCTTCTAAACTCCATCAAGTACAGACCCAGAGTCTTCAACTGCTCTGCATATGACAAGCCCTTCATCACAGGGATCATTCTTGAAAACCTCCTGTGGACCTCTTTGAATGCATCTTTCCATGGATATTCCTTAGATATTGGGCCTAAAACTGCTCACAATATTCCAAATGCGGTCTGACCAGAGTCTTATACAGCCTCAGCAGGACATTTTCTGCTTTTGCATTCCAGCCCACTTGAAATGAGCGCTAACATCACATTTACCTTCCTAACTGCCAGCTGAACCTGCATGTTAACCTTAAGAGAATTCTGAATAAGAACTCCCAAGTCGCTTTGTACTTCAGATTTCCAAAGCCTTTCTCCATTTAGAAAATACTCTGTGCATCTATTCTTCCTACCAAACTGCATGACCTCACACTTTCCCACATTGTATACCATCTGCCACTTCTTTGCCCGCTCTCCTATCCTTTCCAAGTCCTTCTGCAGCCTCCCGGCCTCCTCAACACTATTTGTCTTTTCATCTATTTCTGTGACATCTGCAAACTTAGCAACAGTGCCCTCAGTTCCTTTGCCCAAATCATTAATGTATAATGTGAATAGTTGTGGTCCCGACACAGACCTCTGTGGAACTCCACTAGTCACCAGCTGGCATCATGAAAAACACCCCAGTATCCCCACTGTCTGCCATCTGCCAGTTAGCCAGTCTATGCCAATACCTTGCCACTAACACCATGAGCTTTTATCTCATTTCACAGTCTCCTGTGTGGCCCCTTGTCAAAGGCCTTCTGGAAATCCAAATAGATTGTGTTCACTGGCTCTCCTTTGTCAAATTTGCTCATTACCTCCTCAAAGAATTCTTTAAGATTTGTCAGACATGACATCCCCCTGACACAGCCATGCTGTCTCATCCCTGTTTTACTATGCACTTCCAAGTACTCTGCAATGTCACCCTTAATAACGGACTCTGAACTTTTACCAACAACCAAGGTCAAGGTAACCGGTCTATCATTTCTTGTCTTCTGCCTCCCTCCTGTCTTAAACAGGGGGGTTACTTTAGCCATTTTCCAGTCGTCTGGGTCCATCCCTGACTTCAGTGATTCCTGAAAGCCAATGCCTCTACAATCTCCTCAGCTATGTCCTTCAGAACTCTGGGGTGTAGACCATCTTGTCTGAATGATTTCTCCACTTTCACACTTTTCAGCTTCCCCAGCACCTTCTCCTTAGTGACGACCACCACACTCATCTCTGACCCCTGACTCTCTTGAAGTTCTGGTGTACTGCTGGTGTAAAGTATCGATTCAGTTCCTCTGCCATTTCTACTTATCCAGCCTCTTTTTCCAGTGGTCCAATGTCCACTCTTGCCTCTGTCTTACCTTTTATGTAGCCAAGAAAATCTTTTGCAATCTTCTTTAATAGTATTTGTTAGCTTAACCTCATATTTCATCTTCCACCATTCCAATTATTGTTTTATCAGTTTTCCTTTGCTGATTTTTAAATGCTTCCCAATCTTCTGGCTTCTCACGAATCTTCACCACGTTGTAATGCTTTCTTTTACTTTTATGCTGTCCCTGACTTCTCTGGTCAGCCATGGTTGCCTTGTCCTCTCCTTAGTTTACTACTTCTTCCTTGGGATGAATTTCTGCTGTGCTTCCTGAATTATGCCCAGAAACTCCTGCCATTGCTGCTCCACTGCCTTCCCTGCTAGGCTCCCCTTCCAGGCTCCCCTTCCAACTGATGCTGGCCAGCTCCTCCTTCATGTCTTTGCAGTTACTTTACTCAACAGCAATACCATTACACCAGATCGCAGCTTCTCCCTGTCAACTTGGAGGAGGAGTTCTATCAAGTTATGGTTGCTGCCCCCTACGGATTGCTTCTCCTTAAGGTCCCTAATCAAGTTTGCCTTGTTATACATTCCAGATCTGCAGTCAATAATACTTTTGATGTGCCATTATTGCTGTAATGCAGCAGCTAATTTCCACATAGCAGGAACCTACAATCAGTAATCTAATAGGAATCTAATGATCTGTTGCAGTGATGTTGGCTGAGTGCAAAATATAGACCAAGGCATCAGGAAGAGCTCATCTGCTGCCCTGTAAATTAGTGACGTGGCAACTTTTACACCAGCTGGAACAAGCAGACTGAACCTCAGTTTAGCATTTTATCTGGAAGACAGAACTTCTAACAGTACAGCTCTCTTTCAGTACCACATTGAAGTGTCATTGTGTAGTTATGTGATTGGAGTGGGATGTGAGCCGACATCAGAGGAATGACCACTATTGCTGAGTCACACCTACATGTAGGCTCATTAATGGTACATGCAACATCAGATTTCTATTCGTCCTTACATTGGTCCTTCCAGGTTTGTGACTTAGTCACATGGTTATCACAGATTTTAAATGCTGTTACTCTGAATGACCTCTATTTTATTTGACCTTAGAGTACTTACCCTGATGGTGAGAATGGAAAATAAACATTTCTCCCATTCTTGACACTTCATTTCTGCTAAACACAAAAATGGAAGGGAGCATCATTTTTTTAAATGTCCATTTAAATTTCAATATCTGATTTAATTTGGTTCTGCACACAGGAATAGACAGAAAGTTGAAAAGCAAAATTTATCTATAATTTCAGTTTTTAGTCTGCACTGCATTGCTCATATGCAGCCATACCTTGAAGGCTTGAGGAGAGCAATGAGTATGGGATAGTGGTAACCATGGTAACAAAAGAAGTGTCTCCTCCCATTCAGAGTGGCTAATAAATGCAGTTTGGTTGTAGTTACTTGGCAGGCTTCACTCTACTCAATGAGTGCTGGAATTTTTGTGCTGCCTGTAAGTTGTGAAATTATTTATAATAAACTTGGAGATATCAATGGATTTGGGGATTTAGGAATGTATCCTGCTTCCATTTGACAGTTGTTCGAGAGAGCTGATTAAAACAATAATTATGAGTACAAAGCCCACAGCTTACCATGGTGTCCGGCAGTGTCAGAGAATTATTAAGAACCACTTTCAAGCAATATATTATTTTGAATCGTAGTGCTTGACATGTTCGATGAATAAGACTGTTGGAAAGCCATCATGTCTCTACAGCATGCATTCTTTCCACAGGTGAGCTGCTTTTTTAAATGTCTGTTCTGGGACATCCTTGGGAGAACTGGCGTGTCTGAGTCCTTAACAGAATAACATCACGTAGTACTGAAGTCTTGCAAAGACGCATAAACATAATATTGACTCTTTTTAAATTCTACACATGGTAACATGTAGATAAGTATTTGACTTGAAAATGGATATGTTCTGACTAACATGATGACTTGTGGGTCTGTATTCTATTTCTTTTTTCAAAAAACAGATATAATGTTTCTCCAAGGGACTGATGTGATATTTAAAGTGGCCCTCAGCCTGCTGAGCAGTCACGAGGCATTAATTCTGCAATGTGACAGTTTCGAGACCATCGTAGATTTCATAAAATCGACCATTCCGAATCTGAGTCACACACAGATGGAGAAGACTATTGTTCAGGTACTAATGTCACTACTTAGTATTGTGAACTTTTCAATGAAGTTGCCTGGATTTGCACTTTGTAGACCTACCTGAAGTTTTGTCAAGGCGTAGAGAGGATATTCATATTTAATTCACAAATAGTGCAAATATCTGCATCAATATGGTCTTGATTATCTATGCTAACCTGTTTTATACATGTCACGCTTCCACATTCCACTAGGAATAAAAAAAATGTTATTTTTATCTTCTTTTGTTCCACAACCTGTGTATTTTTAACACGTAAAAATTATTTACTAATTAACAGTTTTCAGATTTAAACGGTCTTTTGTATCAGACCAAATAGAATACCATTGTTTATGACAGAATGAAAATAAAGTGTGTTGGACTTTTTTAAACCAGCAAACTGCAACCACTGAACTGTATCCATGTGGGGTACTAGTTTTAAACTGAATAGCTTTTCCAATGTCTATGGGATTTAATATTTTATCATCATAGTGCTTGTCCTTGATATAATAAAGATACTGCGGCCATAAGTGCAGCCTGGCGCACTGTATGCTTTTCTATAAATCATCCGGAGGGATAATTTAAGGCCACTAATAGTTATGTATTAGTCCAAGGGAGCTGTAAAGCTAATGTTACTTGAAATTTACAGACCAGTCTTAAAGTGTTTGACCTCAAGTTACAGGAAGGCACTAAGGTTTATGACATTGTTGATCACTTCTACGTAACGCTGTTAGCACAGTAGCTCTCAACAGTGGTTTATATTTTACTCAGTATATTTTACTGCTTGTTTAATGTATGTCAAGTACAACTTTCTACACAATGTTTATATAGCACAGCTGGGCTACACTTATGAGATTTCTTTTACCTTCTATATTTGTCCAGCCTAACCATTAGCATTTTAGAACAAAACTATTGTTCAGGATTCTGTACTGTTATGATTTTGTAATGGGCTGGTGCTTCAGCAGGCTAGACATGATCTTCATGGCCCAAGGAAGATCCTGACTGTCAAATCAGCGGTACAGGATATGAGCAAGTACTGTTCCACTAATTAATTCATTCATTTCATTTAACTAAGGAGGAGGAAGTAAAAATTATCACAATTACAGAATCCTAATACCCTCGAAATGTCATATGAACAGAAACCATGTATGTATCCTCATATGTTTAATTTTCGTCCCACCCAATCTCCTTCAATGCGTTATCTGCCTGGATATAATCTTCAAAGTGGTTAAGAAAAGCTGTTTGAATTGCATCTTCCGACTCCAATCTGGTTTCAGTATTTGTAACTACATTTGCTCCTTGCCCAGCAATGCCTCCATTTTATAATTCCCATTGTATTTTTCAAATCCCTCCATGGCTCTGCTTGTCCCTATCTGCGTAACCTTCAACAACCAGGACAGGCACAATAGACTGAATGGATTCCTTCCGCACAACTCCAGTTCTTTCAGTTATTTCTTTTTTGGTCCTCGAGAGCGAGGACTGTAAATCAAATCCATTGACAGGGTTCTTATCACATGAAGTACTGACCCTTGATGTCAAGATCTGTCCCTATTTACAACATTGACCCACCAATGTCTTGAGGCTCAGACTGATAGATGGTGAGCTGCTTCTTTCAATAGTCTAATAGCAAAACCATAAATCCGTAAGCAGCTTGTGCTGATTTGTGACTCAAGATGTATGTTGTTCTCAATATTGCTGGATTGTTTCCCACACTGGTTATGATGGCACATGGTGAACTCGCCGTTACTGTTTCCTACAATTTTTGGCCAGCATTGCTTCATTGTTGTCAACACATGAGACAAATCTTAAATTATTCATCAGGGTATAGAGAAAACTTCCACCAGTTTCAAAGTTCTAGGGACAAGGTCACAATCCCCTTTTAGGTTTAAATCTGCATCACAGCGCCAGTTATTCCTAGCAGCAATTTTAGGTCTCCTTCATTCGCTGTTTTCAGTAAATCATTTCTGGGTGTGTTGTAGGTATTTGAGATGGACATTTCCAAGCAGCTGCATGCCTATGAGGTAGAATACCATGTGTTGCAAGATGAGATGGTGGAGAATTCATTGCCCAACGATGATGGAGACCGTCTGGAGAAACTGGAGAGAGCAAACTGTCAGCTCAAGAGACAAAACATGGAGCTACTGGAGAAGCTTCAGGTAATAATAACTTCAGCTGTAAAACTGTTAATGCAAAGGGATGAAATGATACTGTCTCAGGAAATGAGGTACCCACAGGATCTTTTCTTTGGGACAGATAATACATACATCTGAATTTAGTTTTTTTTTAACCAAGAAAATTAATTTTGATCCAGCCTTATCAGGTGCTTCTGAATGCCAAAGACAATTCCTATTCATCAATAGATTTTTTTCTTTATTTAGGTTCCCATTCATCTGTAATATCAAAGTTATTTTATGTACAGATGTTTAATCTATAGATCATCAATGTAGCCCAACCGTCAGCAAGTCTAATAGCCACTGGGCTGATATCTACATATTAAATTGTTAGCCAACTTGTTCTGGTTCAGACACAAGAGCTGTGTGAAGTAATGAAGTGCATCAAACTTCTTGATTAGTTATAAGACCAAAAGCAATGTGGTTGACTTTTATGTGCCCTGTGAAATGGCCTAGCAAGCCATTCTATTGTATTAAACCTCTAAAAGGTTACAGAAAAGGAACAAAACCTGGCATTGACCCAGGCACTGGAAACTTCAAAGGCAAACACAGCCCTGTCAACGCTGCAAAGTTCTCCTTACCAGCATCTGGGGCTAGTGCCAAAATTAAGATAGCAGGCTGACAGACTAGTCAAGCAGCAGCCTGACACAGCCATTACTCAGTGAATTGTACCTTACCGATAATGTCCTAGACACCACCATTACAATCCCTGTGTGTGTCATTGCCCCACCAGCCAAACACACCAAGTAGAGCTGGTGTATAGTAGTGTAGAGTCGGGAGGGAGTTGCCTCAGGTTAAATGTGATCAAGGAAATCATCTGCTGATTACCATGTATCACTATCTTACACATCTTCCCAAGCAAGGCTAATGAAGTAGTACTACTCCATATTAAACGTCACTTGAGGGTACCAAAAGTACAGAAAGTATTCTGGGTGGCAGATTTCAATGTCTACTCCCAACAGTGGCTCAGTCTTGTCTCTAAACTCCAAGCTGACCAAGTCGTAGATTCATACAGCATGGAAACAGACCCTTCCGTTCAACTAGTCCATGCTGACCGTAATCCCAAACCAAACTAGTCCCACTTTCCTGTGTTTGGGCTATATCCTTCTAAACCCCTCCTATTAATGTACCTATCTAAATGTCTGTACCTGCATCCACCACATCCTCTGGCAGTTCATTCCACGTACAAACCACCCTCTGTGTGGAAAAAGTTGCCCGTCTGGTCCCTTTTAAATCTTTCTCCTCTCACCTTAAAAATGTGTCTCCTAGTTTTTAACTCCCCCAGCCTAGTGAAAGACCCTTGCAATTCAGCTTATCTATGCCCCTCATGATCTTATAAACCTCTATAAGGTTGCCCCTCAACCTCCTATGCTCCAATGAAAAAAGCCCCAGCCTATCCAGCCTCTCCTTATAGCTCGCATTCTCCAGTACTGACAACATTCTTGAAAATCTTTTCTGAACCCGCTCCAATTAAATAATATCCTTCCTACAGCAGGATGACCAGAATTGTACACAGTACTCCAAAAGTGGCCTCACTGGCATCCTGTACAACCTCAACATGATGTCCCAACTCCTATATTCAATAGCCTGAGCAATGAAGGCAAGTGTGTTAAACATCTAATTAACCACCTAGCCTACCAGTGATGCAACTTCCAAAGAATAACATATCTGAGCTCTTCGTCCTCTCTGTTCATCAACACTGCCCGAGGCCTCACCATTAATTGTATAAGTCCTGCCCTTGTTTGTTTTACCAAAATGCTACACCTCACATTTATCCAAATTAAACCCCAATTGCCAGTACTCATCCCATTGACCTAGTTGATCAAATTCCCTTTGTAATCTGAGATAACCTTCTTCACTGTCAACAATACAACCAATTTTGGTGTCATCCGCAAATTTACTAACCATGCCTCCTGAATTCTCATCCAAATCGTTTGTATAAATAACAAACAGAAGTGGACCCAGAAGCAATCCCTGCAGAACACTGCTGGTCACAGGCCTCCAGTCCAAAAAACAACCCTCCAACACCACCCTCCGTCTCCTACCATCAAACCAATGAACTGCTAGACTGGGTTTGCAGCATGTTGTGAGGAACGAACAAGAGGGAGAACCATACTTGACCTCACTCTCATCAGTCTGTCCATGACACTATTGATAAATATGATCACTGTATAGGCTTGTGGGGACAAAGTCCTGCCTTCACATTGACAATACCCTCCATCATTTGTGTGACAATTTCACCATACTAAATGGAACAGACTTCAAACAGATCTTGCAACTCAAGACTGGGCATCTGTGAGGCACCATCAGTAGCAATGGATTTGTACTCAAACACAATCTGCAACCTAATAACCCTGCAAATTCCCCTCTCCACCAGTACTACTAAGTCAGACTATCAATCCTGGTTCAATAAAGAGTACAGGAAGGCACACTAGGAGCAATACCAGGTATTTCTAAAAATGAGGTGTCAACCTAATGAAGCTACAAAGCAGGACTACTTGTGTGCTAACCAGCATTAGCAGCAAGTGATAAAGCTAAATGATTCTATACCCAAAAGATCAGATCCAAGCTCTGCAATACAACCAACCCAGTTGTGAATGGTGGTGGAAAATCAAATAACTCATTCGAGGAGTTGGGCTCCACAAATATCCTCATCCTCAATGATGAGAAAGCCCAGTACAAAAGATACAGCTGAAAGATTTGCAACAATCTCCAGCCAGAAGTGCCAAGTTGATGATACATTTTGGCCCTCACCCGAGGTCCCTGGCATCACAAGTTCCAGTCTTCAGCCGATTCAGTTCAGTCCATGTGATAGCAAAAAAAGGCTGAAGGCACTGGACACTGCAAAGGCTATGGGCCCTGACAATATTCTGGCAATGTTCCTGAAGGCTTGTGTTCCAGAACTTCTTGTGTCAATCGCTAAGATGTTCCAGTACAGCAACGACACTGTCATCTACCTGGCAATGTGGAAAATTGGCCAGGTACATCCTGTACACAAAAAGCAGGACAAATCCAACCTGACCAATTACTGCCCCATCAGCCTACTCTTGAGCATCAGTAAAGTCATGGAAGGTGTTATCAACAGTGCTATCAAGCAGATCTTGCTCAGCAATAACCTGTTAACTGATGCCAAGTTTGGGATCCGCAAGGTCCCCTCAGCTCCTGACCTCATTACAGCCTTTGTTCAATTATGAACAATAGAGCTGGATTTCAGAGGTCAGAGATCACATCCTCAAACATTCACTCCCTCCACCACTAATGCTTAATAGCAGCAATGTGTGCTATCTACATTATGCACTGCAGAAATTCACCAAGGCTCCTTAGACATTAAATTCCCAATACACGAATGCTATCATCCAGAAGGACAGGGAAGTAGATACATGGGAACACTATCATTTGCAAGTTTTCCTCCAACCTACTCGCCACCCTGACTTGGAAGTATATTGTCGTTCCTATTCTGTCACTGGGTCAAAATTCGCAAACACTCTCTTTGAAGGAATTCTGGTCTACCTAAACCCAAAGGACTGAAGCAATTCAAGAAGGCAGTTCATCATTGCCACATGAAGGGCAGCTAGGGATGGGCAATAAATGTTGGCCTGGCTAACAAAGCCCACGTCCCCAAATGAATCAAAAAAAATTATAAAGTTCTCTCAAAATTTATCAAAGCCTACAATAAGAGCCTTTTCTCTGCTATGAATGACCCAGGCCTAACTAAAACTTGTTTGAAATATAAAGCCAGGAAAATACCTGAAATCACCAAGGAGTAGTCAATCTTGCGTTAGTTGTATTTTTTCCAGTGTCTGTGTCACTCCTTCCCTGTGGTTGTGACATCAATATTTCTTCAACAGTTCTTCTCATACCTTAACTTTAGAGAAGGACACGGTTTTGTATTTACCAAAATAGCAGTCAGTTTGGAAGTGACATCCTGAGCAGCAGTTGTAACGATGGGTCTCCAGCCTTGAGATAGTAACTCTGCTTCTCTCTCTCTACAGATGCTGTTGGACTTGCTGAGCTTCTCTGGCATGTCCTGTTTGTGTTTTAAGATATTATACTGTCAGTTCTGTAATCATCAATTAGTGCTCATTTTATGCCAATTCTCTCCAACTCTATGCTTAAAAAAAGCCTGCCCATCTTTCCAGGCTCTTTGGAAATCCCCAATAAGTTTCCATTAGTTGGGCATTTTGGCAGTAATTTCAAGAAAGAAAGAGGAAGGAAAGAAAATGTTTGCATACCTGCATATATTTTAAAATATTTTTCTATTCTCAGAATTTCAGAAAGTCTTGAAGTCAAGAGGTTTCTCGTGAAATCTTTCCTCCCTTGATGGGGAGGCGAAGACCTAATGGTATTATCACAAGATTATTAATCCAGAGACACAGACTGTATTCTGGGGTCCTGGGTTTGAATCTTGCTATGACAGTTGGTGGAATTTGAGTTCAATCCAAATCTGGAATTAAGAGGCCACTGATGACTGTGAAACCATTGTCAGTTGTCAGAAAAACACATCTGGTTCACTGATGGCCTTTAGGAAAGGAAGCCGTTGTCTTTAACTGGTCGAGGCTACGTGTGATTCCAGATCCACAGCAATGTGATTGACTCTTAGCATGGTCAAAAATGCTGGCCTGGCCAGTGATACCCATGTATTAGTCAATTGGAGAACATGGGTGATTTACTAGTAGTGACCAATAGATTTTAAAAAATGGACGATTTGATGATGGGAAAACAAAGTTCAGTTATGTGTAAGAACACTTCTGGATCTTTAAAGATAAAGGAATAAAAGAACCACTGCCTGGTGGTCCATACATCAAGGTTCCAAATGGAGCATTGGTCTGTGCTGACATGGCTGTTCACAGGTGATTCTAGGCTGATGGGCAAGGTGAAGAGAGGTAGGTAAACTCAGTCAGGTTATCCCTCTCTTGAGCCTGCTTCATTTGAGCCCTGCTAAATAGTGCAGGTATATGGAAATCTGGTGACAATTGGATCAGGTTGGGTTGTGGTACTTTTCCTACCTTGGTCGAACAGCCAGTTAGGCTGCATGTGAAGAACAGCAACTTAGTGAAGGTGTGAGTTGATGCTATCTGTGGAGAACCTATGCACGAAAAATGAAAAGAAATTAGAGGTACAAGCAAAAAAGAAGAAGGTGCTAGCACAGCACTTTGACCCGAAGTCCCACAGACCCACACATACTGTTCAATGGCCTACTGCTGGACATTTGTCCGCTGTTAATGTATGTCTCATTAATTATTTCCTTCATTTTACAGGCCACTCGCTTCAAGATACAGAATCTGGAAGCCAGCATTGAAAATATTTTAAGCAGAGAAAATAAAATGAAGCTCCTAATCCGCACAATGGAGCAGGAGAAGCAATCGCACTTAAAGACTATAGAACACATGCGCAAATATTTGCCACAGGACGTCCTCAATGACGGGGAGTTTCTGGCAAGGAAGAATTCAGCGATTTTCTCGTCAAGAAAGCCTGAAGCAGTGGATGAGGAACTGGATGGTAGCAAAATGAAAATAGGAAATAATAAGTCATGAAAACTTCAAGAGCAAAACCCGGGCGACAGTGCTCTAGGAAGCTGAATAGCCATTCTGATGAGGAAAGTGCATGCTTTACTAGGCCTCTGAGTCACTATGTCACATGGTATATGGCTCAGAAGAAGTTGTATGGAGGCCTTTGTAATGTAAGAATGGAGAACTTAGAAAGTGTGGTATCCAAAATGTCATTTTTTAAAAAAAAAATCAACTTAACAGTCCTTCACCTGACTTATTTGGTGTTTAGTACATTTAGCATCACGGTTGGAAACTGTGCTTCATGACTACAGCTTCTGTTGTATTACTTATTGTACTTCAGCAAGGGGAGCTACTTGATCATTAAGACAAAAGACCAAGGTGACGGTTCTATGTCAATTGCTCTTTTCCTGCCATATATAGTTACTGGGGTGAGGATGGTATTCAATCTGTCAAAATCATGTGGGAAATGTAAAAAAAATTAAAAAAAACAATGTATTTTCTCTTCAAGGAGCAATGTGGTTTTAATGTGAAGCCAGTTGGAATTATCGTTTAAAAACAGAAGGCAGTTCATTTCGTTACATCAACAAAATGGTTGACTGGAGAATGGATGTGGCATTTAACCAGCTCCACTTCAACTACACATACTTACAAAGTGCCAAATCCCACAGCTTTCATGTTGGTTGATGTTGCAGTGTGCCAGCAAATCATTACCTCTTTATGGAATGGAACCAGCTAAAGTCCAAAGAAGGACAATGTTCAAAATGGAGATCAAAAGTATTGGAACTGCTTCTACTGTTACTTCCACCCATTGAGTTCCACAGTGCTTAATTTTCCACTGTGTGCGTTATAAATATTACCAAATCATATAAATTTATGTCTGTATACGATGTAGGTTCTATAAAACAAAAAAAAAGTTTCTTCTTTGTTGTTTCTGATGTTATTTGAAGCATCTTCCAAAAGGCTAACTCAGACATGTTCAAATAAAAGAACAGAACTCCAAACACTGGTTAAAATGAATGCACATGTTTGGATTCGTACTTGTTTCTCAGTCTGGTGTACGCCAAAAAACAGGTTATATATTAAGGTAGTGGAAGTGCTCATGCGTGTGAAGAGAACTGGACTCATTCCTAACTAGAACTTCCTCAAACAATCTGGAGTTTCTAGAAGCATAGAATCAAACAACACAGAAAAATGCCATTTGGCCTGTGGTGCCTGGACGTAATCTTTAAGACAGCTGCACAGTTTAAACACAGGCACCTACCTTTTCCCTGTAACTGTGCAACCTCTCCAAGGACTAATTTTTTATCGAGCATTACTTTTGTGAATATGCCTTTTGCAGCAGAAACTGTTCTTATTAGAGTAACAAATGATTTGGAAAGGTGAAGTTATTTCAACACAGTGCAGACTGCTCCAGCTCAGGTATTGAAGATCAATCCGAAAGTCACAGGGTTGTGTCCTGGTGTTAAAACTTGAATCTGTCTTTGAATAGGTTTCAATTTGTGTTTTGGCCTCCATAACAAACAAGGGTATGTAAGGCTTAGTGTCAGGTGATGTGTACTAATTTCCAGGCAGATCACATGGGAGATCATATTGTCCTTTCCAAAGATTCCATTTTACTCAGAATCTGAAGTGACATTTAAAATATAATTGTTTTATAAAGATTAGTTTTCATTCCAGTAGGCTGATAAGACTGGGCCCTTCTGGGAATTTATTTTCTGCTGTTGTGAGGAAAATAGTTGCAGAGATTGAGGAAACTCAAAACCATCCATCAAATAGAAGAGGGGATCACCTCAGCTGAAGACCCTGAGCTGATGAAATTTTATTCGACAAAAGTTGATGTCCACAGGGTAATACTTGGAAATATGGATGCTGCTAGAGACTGATACTGCACCTACCATCTGTTCACTTCCAGTTTGACAGATGGCCTTGGATAGTGCCTACATTATCCTGCCCATCCAGTACTCCTGAGGGTGACAATCTGGGTTGCTATCAGAACCGTCAGAGATCCTAAAATCACTCCACGAATAAATAGTGAACTCTGATCTACCATCAGATTGCAGAACTAATTTCTAAGTGCTTTGTCCATGAGCAGTTGCAAAACCTGCTACCCGTGGTCTTCAAAAACCTGTCTCACCAACCTCCCACAAGACAAAGATTGGAAAATCAGCACCAGTTCTCAGAGACAATCAATATTCTGAGGACTCATTTGGTGTTGGTTCCTTACCAGGATGTTAAGTGGCGAGTTCTTCAAATGTCACAATTTTGGCCTCATGTAACCTAGCAGCAGTTATGTCAAGCAGTTGAACTTTGGTTCGACCACACTTTTGAGTACTGTCTGCAGTTCTGTTTGCCACACTATAAAAAATAAAGGATGTAGAGGCATTGGAGAGGCTACAAAGCAGATCTCAAGGAGAATACCAAGAATGCATGGGGATCCAACCTGGAAAGTGTTTGAGTATTTAGCTCTCTTGGAAGAAGGTCGAGTGGTAATCTCTACAGTTCTTTAAAATTATGAAAGATTTTGATATGAGTAAACCCACAGGGCATGTTTCCTCTTGCTTGGAAGAACATGACAATATAAAATAGTTGCCAATTAATTCAATATACAATTCAGGAGACACCTCTTTATCTAAAGAGTGGTGAGAATGTAAACCTTACACTTTACTGGCTCCTATCATAGTATAATATAGTTGGATTTAAGTGGAAGCTAGATAAGCATCTGAAGGAGTGGGGTATAGAGGTCTTATAATAATGGATTTACACAAGGAAAGAAAGCACCTTGCTTGAATAGAGCACAAAAGCCGGCAATTAATAATAAAAAAGTTTTTTGCAGCTAAATCACCATCATCCTGGGTAATGGTTTGGGAATCATTCTACAGGATGGCTTGCAACTGATGAGGTATCTAAGCAGGCAAAGAGAGAGGGCCTCTAGGCCTGCTGGGAACACTTGGCCTAATTTACTCCATCCCTGTCCCAATCAATGAATGGCTAATTCAGTTGCCCTTGAATGGTTATTTTGTCATTTGTGCTCATCTCTCTGATTTATCTGTACATTTTCACTTCTGTTCATTTCCAATAAACCGTGAGTCTGTATTACTGTCTAACAAATGTAACAAGCCATTGATTTAATGTTTCATCTCTAACCATATTAATGCTGTATGAACTTCCTTTTATGTACATTAGTTCTCCTGACAGGATACCTGTCCTTCTTCCCAAACATTGGCATGCCTCTTTACCCTTCTGAAAATATTAAATTGATTTGAACATTTGCCGTGTGCATTTATTTCAGCTTTCCTTTTACACTCGGTGTTGCTTCTGTAGATGCTGGTTTCTTTCTGGAGCTGAAAATTCCTTTAATGGTAGTTCTCTACTGCAGGCTGCTAAAAGCACTGATTTTGCCTTATTGAGGAATTTTCCCATCCCGTGGTCTTGCCATGATGGTGCTGGTTTATACCTGGTTCATACTGGCACAGGAACTCATGCTGCACCTTAGAAATGGCTAGACTATTCCTTGCACTTATTTGCTGCCTTTGCATTCCTCGCCCATTCATCTCATACCTTATCGTTACATTTGCATGATTTGTAGTATTCCTGCTGCCTTCTGGTAGCTGGTCATGTATTGTCTATGAATTCCTTTCTGAACAAATTCATCAATACTTCCATCATTCATTCACCTGTCCTTAAAATAAGAAGTTAATTCATTGATCAGTTCGTCTCTGCATAATCGTCCCACCATACCGTAACGTTTTGTTAGAAAACAAATACATTTTGTTCAGCAATGCATGAGTTGTGCTCCCTAAGTAAATGAACAGTGAACGTTTGCTTAATAAGACACTAACTCCAAGTATGATTCTTTGTAAATCATGAATTGTCCCCAGTCCATTTATTTCTGTTTTCCATTTTAATAGGTTTGTATTAGAATTGCCCGTTAATTCTTTACTGAGTTTTTATTCAAATTTCTGTTCAAACACCAATTCATTCTATACTATAACCTCTGGTTCCTTATTAATGCAGCTAATAGTCCTATTCTCTTCAGCTATTGAACTCCTACTTGATCTCCATCTTTGTGTTATGGATGCTGAATTCAGATAATCTCTAGTATCCAAGATTTAACTACTTCCTTATTTTGAACGTATTCCACCAAGTTGTTTTCTTTCAGATTTGTGCTTTAGGCATCCGCACTATATTTGCCATTCCATTGTCATTTTCATTAAGCTACTGGTTTCATGCACTTTCTTCCTGACTTTTATTCATGTCACTATTCTGTGTTCCCACTCTCAGTTCTGATGTTAACTCCTCTTCCTCTTCCATACAATACAGATTCATACTGACTTGCTTTCACCCATTCAAATTTGTATTTTCAAATATTGTCTACAGTCTATATTTTTTGTCTTATTAAACTGCCATATGTTTTAAAATTCCCAAATTAGGAAAAAAATATGGCAGCACAATACTAGCCCCAGGCCATTACCGTCCTCCATTTTGTCATGTGGCATTACCACACTTCATTCTTTCTCGGAATGTGGGAGTTGCTGACAGGTACAGCTTTGTCCAACCCTACCTGCCCTTGAACTGAGTGGCTTGTTATGCCATTGTGCAGAGCAGTTAAGAGTCAACCATTTTGCTGTGGGTGTGGAGTCACAAATTGGCTTAATGAGGAAAGAATGGCAGATTACCTTGCCTAAAGGTCATCAAGAAGCACTTCTTTCTAAAAATACCAGTTGGCAATGGTTTCATGGGTCACTAATAAACTAGCTTTTAATTATCAGTTTAATATTATTATTTTCAAGTTGCAACAGCTGCCATGATGAGATTTGAACTCATAACTCCAAAGCATCAGCCTGGGTGTCTGGACCACTATTCCAATGACGTTACCACAGCTCTACTCTCTCCCTAGCTAAATGGAAAGGACATCGAACAGATTAAGTGACCCAAACTGGGCATCCCTGAAGCTCTATGAACTATCAGCAACAGCAGAATTACATTCATCCACAATCTGTAACCTCATGCCTCAATGTATACCCACTCTACAATTATCATCAATCTGGGAGATCAGCCCCCATTCAATCAAGAGTGGAGGAGTGTATGCTAAATACTGCACCAGGAAGACCAAATAATGAACTGTCAAGTGGTAAACCTACAACATAAGACTACTCGTACACCAAATAGCACACAAAGCATGCAATAGACAAAGCTTAGCGATTACACACCTCATGGTTTAGATCTAAACTGTGCAGTCCTGCCATCCAGTCATGAGTGGTGGTGGGCAATTAAACAACCAACTGGAGGTGGAGGCTCCACAAATATTCTCATCCTTAACGATGGGAGACCAGCACATTAGTGCAAAGGACAAAGCTGAAGTACTTGCGACAATCTTCAGCCTGAAGTGCCAAGCAGGTGATCTATCTCAGCATCTCCTGAGGTACCCAGCAACCAGTCTTCAACCAATTCTGTTCACTCCACATAGTATCAAGAAAGGTGTGAACACATTGAGCATGGTCCTAACAATGTTCTGACAATAGTACTTGTGCTGCAGAATTTGCTGTACACCACCCAAGCGGTTCCAGTGCAGTTAAAAAACTAGCAGCTACCCTACAATGTGAAAAATTAGCCAGGTATACCCTGTCCTCAAAAGGCAAGACACATCCAACTGGCCGATTTATCAGCCTACAAGTGATGACTACATGTTGCAAAATGATGGAAGGGTTTGTCAACAGTGCTATCAAGTGGCACTCATGAAAGGAATGACATCCTCATTGATGCTCAGTTTGGGTCTCGCTTAGCTCCTGACCTCATTACAACGTTTGTCCAACCATGGACAAAAGAGCTGAATTCCAGAGGTGAGGTGTGAGCAACTGCTCTTGACATCGGAGTGTGGAAAAATAAGCAAATGGGAATCTGGCTGGGTAAACTCTTCATTGGTTATGTCATACCTTGTACCATCTTCCAATACCTGTCCACAAGGCATAAATAATGGGTGTGATGAAATACTGTCGACTTTCCTTGATGGGTGTAGCTCCAAAGACACTTAAGAAGTTCAAACCATCCTGGACGAAGCAGCCCACTTCATTGGCACCTCATCCATTAACTTTGCAGCAGCATGTGCTATCTACCAGATACACTCCAGGAATTTACCGTGCCTCCTTCGACAGCATTCTCCAAACCCTTGGTCGTTGCCATCTCGACAAGGGTAGAAGATTGGTGGTAAGCAGGATCAAGGGGCTGAACGTATCTATTTTTCTTGGAATCATCACAAAAACAACCCATTCACCCAACCAGTCCAAATGGTGTTTGTGCTACATACAAACCAAGTTCCATCTATCCTCATCCAAATCTAACATCGTATTCCTCTTCATACGTTAGTCATATGTTATTCTATCCTCCATTTAAATGCACCCAAACTATTTACTTCAAACACTCCCTATGGTAGCGTGTAAAAATTTCATTCTGAATTCAGTATCAGACCTCCCAGTCACTATCTTATATTGATGAACTCTAACTCTATTCTTCCCCATAAGAGGAAACCATTGTCTTTGGCTGCTTTTTTTTAGAACATTAGTAATACCCTTCCCCACCTCTGCCCTGGTGAAGGAAGGCTGTTCACCCATTTACAGGCCCCACCTGAAGCTAGAATCCAGTGGGACTTGCAGTTTAAATCAGTTAAAGTAATAAAATGTGCTGGGTTTTGGGTTCACATTATTTAGGTGTTTGTGTATCAATTTCAATGATGAAAATAATTTAAATTATCTCATTATGAATGCAGTGTACTTCTGAAATTATTACATTTGCTTTTGGAGAGATCTAATGTTTTCTAGGCTTTATGTAAACCAGTAATCACATTGCTATAAATCGTATTTACTTTCATCTCACGGTGACGTTTCAGTCATAACTTTTTCAAATACTTAGGCCAAGGCTGCCTATAAATGCTAATTTAACTTTAGGACAGGCTCGCAGAAACAAGAGGAGACTCAAGTAGAGATGACCACATGTTTTCTTGTGGAGACCAAATGGACTCATGCTCCATCTGGGGTCACATAGCAAAATCTTCCTTGGAGAATCTTCAATGACAGAGCCTTGCAGCAGTATTTTCCCTATTTTGGCTCCAGTTCAGAACAAACCTATGAACATTATAGTGCACAATTTATTAAGACCTTTGTTTTAGAATGGGTTTGTCTCTTTGGATAAGGTCAGGCCAGAGCTTGAGGTGTTTCTTCCAATGGTATTTTTAACAGTATATGTGTTATGACCTTGCAGTAGTCCTAAGCTACTCTGGTTCCAACTTTCCAGCTGAGTCTCTCTCACATGACTACAAGAGGTCGCTGTTACATTCCAGCATGCCTCAGAAGCTCATCTGCATATTCCTAAACCATATCACTGCATTTCTGCCCCAAATCCATTCTCAGTTTCCAACATGTGTGTATGTTTTTTTTCTTAATGTTATTGACTGAAAATATTTAACTGAAAGTATTTACAATCCAAACATTTCCCTCCGAAGATAGAAGGGTCTAGGCCTGAAACGTCAGCTTTCCTGCTCCTCTGATGCTGCTTGGCCTGCTGTGTTCATCCAGCTCTACACCTTGTTATCTCCCTCCGAAGCCTGGAATTTGTCGATTCAACTAATGCCTCACAGTTTTCCATGATCTTATTATTCAAAGTTGTGCTGAAGGGCAGTAGTCTCTAGGCTAGTTGGATGTTCAGCAATTGAAGTGGGTGGAGTAGATCGCGTAATGTTGCACCAGACTTATGATATTGAAAAGGATGATTTTCTGTGGGTGATTGCATCAGCAAGATTGGCTGGTGATTATAGAAAGGATACCACTTCCTTTTGGCTAGACTTAATGATCAGTCCCATCTTGTAATACTTTTCCAAAGATGTCTTCTGTGGAAAAGATCATTTAGCAATGAAACACAGCTTAATGGCAAAGTTGCGTCATTAAATATGTACAGAATGGTAGCAATGTTCGTCAACATGAGCAGTTTGGTAATATGTTGAGCTTATTGGGCTGTCTTCTCAAATTTAGGACGAAGAGATGAATGCAGCATCTGGGAGAATGCAGAAGGATCAATCCTTCAAAAGACTTTTACGAGGACTGGGAATCATAAATGAATATCTTTACAGAAATTGTTTCTTGCTCTGAAAGAGTTGCTGTTAGGACAATGTTTGTCATTCCTGTGAGGCATTTTGGATATAAAAACAACATGAGATGGATTTTGTCTTTGAATGTTGTTGTTTCTGACAGTGTCCCTAGGAAGCTAGGTGAAGTTA